TTCCCTAATTCTGGCATCAGAGAAGATTCTGTCATGCCCTGCTGTTCCCTGATGACTCTTTTAGGGCAGGACTTCCTTACCTTCACCCTCCAACCATTACTTCTTTTAATCTGCAGCACAACCTTGTCAGTTTTGCAGAATCCTTCATACAACCCACGGTTTTGAAGTGATTTCTGGGGACCTCTGAGGAAGGACACTGTAGGCCTATCCAGTCAAACTGAAGAGCTGCAGGGGTTGATGTACATGTTCTTTAGTCACTCTTCTTCCATGTTCCCCTTTCCTTTCCCTCTTTTTCCCTTGGTGTGTGTGCCCCTGGTTGAGGGCTGCTGGCAGAGAACATCACTGGGTTTGTTGCATCATGTTGGTGTGCTGCTGGCATCAGTGTCATCAGAAACATCTGACCTGCATGCAGACCTGAAAACAAATGCTTTGTGGGGAAATGCGTGTGTGGGGTGTAGATATGGAGAGAAAGGTGGGGCCATGGGTGAGCTTGAAGTGAATGCAGGAGGAATGGATTGGGGAGCTTGAAAGCTGGAATGCTGAGCAGGGAAAGATGCTTGCTTGCTTAGAAGGTGAAGTTTGTTGAAATGCCTTACTGTCCCTCCTCTTTCTGTCTCCCTACTTGTGAGTATTTAGGAATTAGACCATCATGCATGTTAGCCAGTGACCACCACACCTCGAGCATCCAAGTGTGAGTGGATGTACGTGTCTGGAGCTCTAGGCTCTCTTGGGACAGTGCAAAGAAATAATCAACATGATGTTCCTGCAGAATCAGGTCTGCATTGCTCTATGCCAGGATTTATTGTCCCAAGTTGTAGGAAAGGATCTGTTCCTTTCAGCCTTCTCCCAAGGCTTTTAATTTTACAAGAACTGCACCTTTGCAAGTGGAGGGAAGTACCACTCTCTGCAGATGAGGTTGCAGAGTTTTTTAGCAACATTCTGTAATACTCTGTTTTCAGCTGTGTATAGTTTTGCTGAACTGTAACCACTTCTGCTAAAATGCCACCTACTAGTGTCTGTGCTTCTGCGTGACACTGGATAAATTGATTAGTTGGTTTTTGGGGAGCTGAGTTTTGGCCAAGATGATTCAGCTCTTCCAGAAATTTAGACAGAGTAAATAGTTTTACCTTTATCCCTGTTGAAATTATCTGGTATTTTTACTGAATCTCTCAAGATTGCTTACTTTGAAGACCAGACTTGGGCATGGCTTTAGGGAAAGGCATGTGCCTCTTGCCGTTCCTTTGAAAAATCTGTCCAATTTATGAAGCAATAAATGTCACTGGCATATATCCTTCTTGCATCTTCATTCCCTGAAGAATTTCTCTTGACTGTCTATTAGAAACTGTCTATTAGTCCTGGAATAAGGACCAAGGAAGGAAAGGTAAAGGCAGAAGGAGTTAATAATTGACAAGAAGGCTGGGGACACTTTTCATAGTAGAGAAATCTTTACTGGTAGCCAGAATCTCACTGTTTCCTTGCTGTATGGAATGATCTGTGAAACTTCTGGCTACTTGGCCCTTCTTCCAGCTTAGACAGTTTATACCACACAGAGGAATATGATAGTCTGCTATTATGGCTTTAGTTCAGGTGTTGTGAATCAATTAGTCATAATCCATGCAGATGTCAATACCCCTCCACACAGAAGAACTCTTCTCTTTAGAATTTAAAGCTACAGAACATAACTCCTTCCCCAGTGCTAAAAACTATGATTTAATGTCAGACACTTAGATTAGAATCTGGCAGAATTAATGATGGCTGGTTGAGTTTTTAAAAGGCCAAGTATATAAATTCGGTTGAAATTCCATGGATAGCCTGTTGTACAATAATGCTTCTGCAGTATTGGACTGCAAATGAATCAGTAAAGATGCTCCGTAGAAGCTTGTAGAGCCTTCAAATTTCTTAGTTGTGTGTTTGGGAGCAAAGCAAAGAGATAATTGAGGCCACTGGTCTCTGCTGGTTAGCACAACTCTGCCTAGGTCTGGCTCAGACTTCTCTCTTTTTCCTTCTCTCCCCCTTTCTCTTGCTTTCTTCAGTGACAGCACCCCAGCGAAAGCAAATAAAAGCCCCTCGCCTCCACCCGATGGATCACCCATCACCAGCCCTGAGACCAAGACTGTCAACCATGAGCTGGAACCATCCACTTTGGAAGCACCTGGGGCAAGCATCCCAAAGTCACCATCTCAGGTAGTGTCCCCATGACATGGACCATGTCTCTGCAGTATGACTGCTTAAGATTCATGATTCAAAGCCATCATTGGTTGCTGTTTGGGACCTATTCCTGCTACTGAGCACAGAGAATGACATGATGGTTGTTCTCTTTCACTGATTCCTGAGGAGTTCCTGAGAATGCAAGTTGCTCATTGGTCATCTCTATATCACATAGGGAATAACTAAGCTGTCTCTAAATGCCTCCATAGTGCGAAGGCCAATAATACATTTTGCTCTCCTGTAGGATGGCCATGATAATCCAGGGAGGACGGAGTTGTAGCTTGGTGAGGAAGATCATTCTTTACATTTGAATTAACCTGTGGAATTCAACTGTTCACATGCTTCTCAAGGTCTTCCATAACTGAGGAAGGTTCAAAGAAAAAAAAAAATTGATAAGGAGAACATCTCTAGTTTGTATGATGTTTTACTTTAATCCCAATATAATATAATACAATATGATAAAAATAAAGGCATTATATTCTTATGCTATGAGGAAATTGGATGACAACTAGGAAGAGGTCTGTCCATTATATGGAGTTTGATACCTTCCATGTGGTCTTTGTTAAGCCTTTCACTACGCAGGAGATAGCAAGAGGCATGCTTAAAATAGCTGATGTAGCTCCTGATACTCAGCATATCATATGATATGTTTTACTTTGGGATTAAAGGAAAACAAAATATTTGTGTCCTCTTCCCATTCCTCTATTACTGAGTGGGGGAAAAACTTAATAGGGAGAAGTAGTAACTAGGTCATATTTATGTGTAGTGCCAATCCTTGCATTTCAGTAAGTGGGACACCAGGGAGAAGTCTTCCAGGAAGAATTAAAGCTGAGAGGGGTTCTTGCCCAAATGGTAAAAGAAAACCTATTGTTTCTGAAAAGACATGAGTGCAACCCAGAACTTCCTTGCTGTTATCATATGTAGCAGTGTGATTCCAAATCCAAGCCTCCTGGTGCTTGGATAGGTGCTCACAGTATTTTTCCCCACACTGCGTTTCTGAGTTGCAGGATTATGTAAGGACAAAAAGGGGATTTTTGCGTGTTGGCAAAAGGGTCTTTTCCAGCCTGGTGAGATGTGTGGATGCCTGGTAGTGCCTTATCAGGGCAGCCAGGCACAGTCTAGAGCAGCTTTGCCACAACCCTGGCTAGGACCTTGGAGTAAATGTGTGTATGGAGGAGAGAGGACAGTGAATCCAGAATTGCCTTCCTGTTTTTTCAGTGATTGGCATAACTTGATTGAAATTTGGAACAAGGAATGATACAGCTTTACTGAGCTGTTCACTGCAGACTTCACTCACCCTGCCTGTGGCCTTGTCTTACTGAATTTGGCTTCTTCCCTTCCTTTAAATAGCACACATAAGCCTTGTTTTTGCCAGCCTGCAAGTGCTTTTTCACTCGCTTGCTGCCTTTCTGCCCACAAGAATGGGGCTGGAGGGGCATCCCTTGTCAAGCACGCAGAATATTCCAGTGCAGCCCTGGCTGGAACCTCAGGTGGGCCACAGGCAAGACTGAAATAGCACTCGCAGCTAATGCTGCCACCGGCTGGCAGCTCATTCCCACTGTATATTTAATTCATTCTTCCGGGCTGACTCACTACTGTGAAGGACAAGAGCTCCACTCCATATTCATAATAGGTGCTAAGAGATGGAGGTGTCTCCAGACGAAGGGAAGCCAAGGAGAAGGGTTTCATACTCTGAGCCGAGGCTGGTGTCTGTCTGGATGAAGTCTGGAAACTGAGTGTGTGCCAACTTGACAGCCAGTTGGAAAATGCAAGTGTCTGATCTTTTAGCAGTGCTCAACTTTAACTTTTTAACTTTTTTTAACTTTTTTTGAACTATGGGTTAAGTGATTTGATCTAGGATCTTCCCAGGGATGCTAGAGACCTCATCCTCTGAGGAGGATGGAGCAACAAGCAATTACAATTCTCTGGCCTCTTCCTGTTTGAAATACTCATGCAAACCATAAGCAAAAGCTATAGGGAGAAAACAAAACAGAAAAGACCAAATAAACACAAATGTAAAATGTTCCCTATGTAAAAAAAAAAAAAAAGGTCTTTTGCTGTCTTTTATTTCTCAAAACTAGCTGCTTTCTGTCTTTTGGAAGAAAGAACTTCTTGTCAGCTCTCCATGCTGAGCAATCTGATAATGGCACAGGACTTCAGGGGTCAGTGAAATTTCAAAGGTCAGACTTTTGCTCTCAGTTACACCACTGAAACACTGTAATGACACTTTTGGAATCAGTACAACTATGTTGAATTTAGACAAGCTCTGTGGGATTCAAGTTAGCAAAAAAAGTTAGAGGATTTGTTTTATTCTAGGTAGCAAAGCTGTCTATGCTTGATGAATTTCGAGATATGACTCAGCATCAGTTTGTAATCTGGTGTCTTTGAAGTGTGGTTTTAGACTGCTGCTGGGGATGATGCTGGACACTGGAAGTGATGGTCTCCAAGACACTAATGCATTGGAAGGAAGGAGGCTGACAATTTTAGAGAAATAAATAGTGGAAGAGTTGGGATTTATTTTTTTTAACTTTAGAGTTTGTGATAGGAGCCTCCTGTTTCTGCAGATGGTGGGTCTGTTCTGGGAATGGCTGAAATTGCTTATCTCTTTTTGTAACTGGCAAGCAGGAGATTGTCAGGAAGAGATTATTTTCAGGGAATATGGACACATGCATTCTGCAAACAGTGAGAAGTTGGAAGTGACCACACTACTTTCATTATTTCACCATGACATTTCCATTCATTGGAAAATGTGTTTTGTACACACTCTCTGAAATATGTTAACTCAGTAGGAAACTGGGCATATCCTTAGTAATCAAATAAAGGCCTTGTAGAACTCAGTTACATGCTGGAGAAGTGTGAACACAGGACTAGGAGTTGGGGATTGCTGTGTTTCACATCTGGGCCTAACACAGATATACTGGGTGCCTGTTGTCAGGTCTCTGTGTCTTGCTCCCTTGGGACCCTAGGTACAATCAGAAGATGAAGTAACTGTAAAACATCACTGTAAATGAAAAGCATTGTCATTGCTGAGCATTGCTGTCATGCTGGGAATGTTTATGGCTGATTTGTTCCAACACAGCAGCAGCTTCTCAAAATTTGATTTGATCTAGAAATGACCATTGAGCCTTGGGCACAGGAAAACGTGTAAGGGATGAGAATGGGTTCATCTAGGGAGGGTCTGCCACAGCTTCCCACTGGGTTGTGGATGCAGTGTCAGGCTGAGTCTTTTGGCATGAATGTGGGTATTGGGATGGGTTGGAGTTACAGGATCAGATTTTGTTATGCATTCTCTGGGATCTCTATTTGAGAAACAAGACTTCATTGGTGTCAATGCTCATTGGTGAAACTGAGAGCAGAGTTGGACACATAGCAGTCATGGCTTCTCAGGAGTTTGAATTGTTCTTGCCTAAAGCTGAGAAGTGGTAAGATGCCATCAAGAACTCCTTCAGACTTTTCTTATGGTACACTGATAACCAGCAAACCAAGGAGCCAGTACTAGGCAGATCAGAGTCATCCTCATGGTCACCTACCCATAATAAGACAAATGGAGTCTCATTTCTCATTCCCTTAGGTATGGTAAGTATGGCAAAGGGAGGCAGTGCTGGCCTGGTCTATTGAATTGTGTTCTCAGTAATTGGTTTGCACCCTTCCCAGTGGTTCTTTTGAAGGTTGCACATGCTTTAATTATGTATGCATGTCCTGTCAATGCATATTAATTGTGTTACGCTTCTCCTCTGCAGAGGGAAACTCGCCCACGGCTGAAGTGTAACTAATGATGCCAAACCTTCTCTGGAGGCGGGTGGTTGTCTTTTAATTTTGTCATTTCAGCCCTTCACCCTCCCTCCCTCTCTCTTCAGATGGAGTTGATTAAACCCTGCTTTGTGCCTGTTGTTGTGATTTCCCCCACCTTCAGTTTTTGTGTCTAACCTGATTCCTGTCTCTGGTTTTTTTGGGTGTCGCCGTCTGTGCTGTGGCCGTGTGCTCACTTGCATGCAGTTGAGGAAAGGGCCTCCGGTGCCTCCGCCTCCAAAAGTCACCCCCTCCAAGGAGATCAAGCAGGAGAACATCATCAGTCTGTTTGATGACAATTTTGTCCCTGAGATAAGTGTGACAACCCCTTCGCAGGTTAGCTGCTCTGCCCTGCCTTTTATTTGTCTGCCTCTGAACTTTTCCTTTTGACCTTTCTTCTATTTGGAGGTGTCAAGCCATGAAAACTGGTCAGGTGAAGGAGGAAGGCAAGCTCAGCATTGGATCTCAGAAGGCAGATAGGAGGCTCACTTAGTGGGGAGGGTGGGTAGAAGGCAGTTTTAACTAACATGTTGCTCTTTGAGACCTTTCACTCATAGAAGAAACACAAGAAATGAAACTGGTGAAGATGCCCAAAAGTAAACACTGCATTTGTTCAGCAGCAATGCACATGGATATTCTACAATATGCTCTCTCCAGACCCTCTGATCCTGGGTGTGGATGAAGCGTGTGTTTTCTGCACTTGTACATTCCCAAGTGCCAACCTTGGCATCTGTGCCAGTCCTGGGAGAAGGCAGTTTTATGCTTTCTGTGCCTCCATACGTGTTACTCTGGCAGTTCTGGCAGAATATTTCTTTCTAATTATGTGGCACCTTTTGAAGCCCTGAAAAAAGAAAAACATTTTCAAATTACATATTTTGCTCTTGACTTCCCTTTTGATTTACCTCTCTGCAAGAGAGGATGCCCAGGTCAAGAATTCTGGGTTGGATGTAGGAGAGTGGCAGACCTCACGTATGTAGGAGCCTGACCAGATTTCTGGCTGTATCATGAGATACTTGCACCTACTCTTTTTTTTTTTTTTTTTTTTAAATATATATACATATACATATATATTCCCCCTCCAAATGCTTGTTAAAGCACAAATAATATCTCTTCTAGTGCTCATCTGTGACTCATTCCTTAACCATCATGCTGCTCCATTGCCTCTGGTTTGCCAACTTCCACCCAGCTGCTGAGGAGCAGAAGTGGAGTGGGGAGGGAAGGAAGTCCATGTCAGATTGTGCACTGCACTAGGTAAAGCTTGCAGAGCAGAGAGAGGGTTTGACAACAGGCTTGGAAAACAGGGACCAGAGGCAGCTGAGCAACTCTCCATTTTCTGTGCCTCCTTCTCCTGTATCATAATGGGCAGCTCTGTTTGCCCCCTGGGTTGTATTGTGTATTTCCATGTGAACACCAGCCCCATAGTCAGATGTACTTTTCTGCATCTGATCAGTGGTCTGGCCCAGGATAGGATCCACTGTGACTTTCCATCATGTGGGAGTTCTGAGGGAGGTTTCTGGTTGGCAGAACAACCTTCACTGAAGCACCCAACAGCTGCTAGCATTCAGTGTGTTGCCCAGGGCCATTCCTGTCATATGTCTTCGCTCCAGTGAGCTTTCTTGTGGGAGATTTGGGTAAAGGCAAGAGGTACTAGCCTTTCCATGTAAGACTTGAATGGCAGGTAAGATTATTCCATGACTGGAGCCTTTGATATCTTACTACCAAAGAAAACAAAAAATTGGGTTGGAGACTCTTTGATGGGTGGTCTGGTTGTGCTGAAGGAATGTACTGGAGTGCCAGATGGTTTTTGCATGCTGGTCAGGGTTTATTATTCTGAGATGGGAGAGCTTGACTGCTTGTCCTCATGCCTGTGGATCTCAAAAAAGAGATGTTTACAAGGGAGAGAAAAATCTCTTAAGAGAATTTTAGTAAGAAGAAGCTAGAGGAGGTGAAAATGGTGGTGGTGTGGGTTTTATTCAGAGGACTTTCTCTTAAATAGTGTCTCTTGCTACTTTTCAGCGGTTTTCCACTGTGAGGCTATGATGTAACTGTGGAGACCAACCTGCCACACTTCTTGTGTTGTTGGAAAGTAGATGAAACAGTGGGGTTAGTGAGCTGGGAGGTCAGTGGAAACAGGCAAATCTTCCTGGACTTCCTCGAGAGGGCAGCTTCCTCTGAAGCTGAGTAGAAAAGAGTGTCTTTTAGTGGCTAGGGTGAGTCTGAAAATGAGAAGTGATTGTTTCATTTGGAATGCTAATGACTCATGTCTTTGTAGTGATTGTTTTCTTAATGGTAATCAGTGAATGTGGCATCATTATCTTTAGCTACGGCATCAATCAAAGGGAGTTATTCAGTTGAATTTGAAGAGAGTAGCAAAGCCTCTCAAACTTATGCTTGGGTAGAAGGCTCGTGTGTGCATGTTTCTGGGATGTCTGGAAATGGAAACCATTTGCAACAGTATTTTTGGACTGTGGAGTGATTCAAATCCCTTAGGTAGGGTGCCATATTCTGTGTTTCTGTCTCAGAAGGCAGAAGAGAATTAGGAGCTCTGGGAATTAGCTTTGAGGTGTCTCAGACTTCCAGCTGTTTGAGTTGTTGCCTACCTTGACTGGTGTTCCTGACGTAAGTTGTGTGGATGGCAGCTATTTTGTATGTGGTTGAGGGAGTCTGTCCTGGGCCTTCCCTTCAAAGGCAGCTGGATGAGCTATGTGGAATAGCTATAAATAGCAGCCCTTCTGAGTCCTCAGTGGCAGTGATCCTTTTGACCACAGCAGGTCAGGCGCTCACACAATGTCAGCCCATTTGTCCAGGTGGAAAGATGAATGAGTCGTGTGGAAAAGGCTGAGGTTTAGTTTACAGTGGCCCCATGTGAACTGTCTGTGATTATAGAAACCAAGCAGTCAAGATTCACATCAGCTGTTTGCATTGCCATCACATCTTCTGTGCTTGCAGCCTCAGCTCCTGGATGTCACGTACCCTCCCTCTACTGTTTGTGTGTCTAATGCTCGTACCGCTTTTCTTCCTCACTGCTGCCAAGTTTGATGCCCCTGGGCCCTTCCAGGAGGGAGCCAGCCTGTTGGATCTGGATTTTGATCCCATTAAACCAGATGCCACTGTGGGGAAGACCCCCACACCCGCCTCCCAGGTTGGTTCATATCACCATTCCTTGTCCCTTTGTAACTGACTTGTTGCCAAGTGTGGCATGACCTGCACCCACAAGGATGATAGTGTGGACTTGAGCTAAGGGATGTCTGGGCTGGGTGCCCAGACTTGTGCCTTGCAACTGGCATCTTGGTCTTCTCTGCTGGATGTGAAAGTCCAGAGGGAATCAGGTGGGTATTAGCCTGACCACAGTCTTACACTACTTGTTTGTGAGATGCTTGTCATTTTTCTCTAATGATTGACAACTCGCTCAGTTTAATGGATTTCCCTCCCTACATTAGCATCCTCTGTATGCTATATGGACTTAAACTCAGTTCAGTGCTTCTGTTAAAAATTGCTCTCTAAGGGATTTTTAATAAACACACTGATAATCTGCAGTTACTTAGGGTGAATAAAGCTGTAGACAGGTATTAAGTGATGTGAAGCCCTTCTGCACTGCACAATGCAGTATCAAAATCAAGATGCCTAATTCTGATCTGGTTCTGTCCACTGTCAGAGGCAGGTGGTCAGTGCTTCATTTTATGTCTAAATGGCTGGAGGCTCTGAAGTGCATCCTGAATTTGGCTGTTATCCTCACTTAGACTTTCTATTTCATATGTATGAAATGGTTATTTTTTGCCTGTGGCTGCCATTAACATTTATAATAAATGCAACTGGGATATTTGCAGTATTTCTCCAGTATCATGTCAAGTAGGCCTGAGTGACACAGATTTTTGTAGCAATAAGACCTCTCTTATTAGAGAGATAAAACATTAGGTATTTGATTCTTCTACATTAAAATATTGTATCTGCAAAATACTAGTTATTATCACAGTTTCATACACAATATGGCAAGCTACCAATTTCTGAAGCTTTATCAGCTGAGAGGCATTTCATGTCTGCTTGCCTGACAGAACAAGCTGCATACCAGGATAAGCTTTTTTCAAAGTGTATATACTGGGATTTTATTTATTTCCTCTGAATTGCCAGGGATAACTTGGATAATTGGGTGTACTGGCATAGGATACTCGTATAAATTTGAGTTAAAACTACATTATTTGTTACCATTCCAGCAAGCGACAAGTATTACAGAGCAAGTTTTTCAATACTGCTCAGCATATTTGGTGTTCTAAGGTATTTATTATTAGCTTCAGAAGTCATTCAAAGAAGGAGTGTGAAATCAATGCTTTCTAATCATAAGCACATTACAAAAGCCCTAGTGAAAACCACCTAGTTTTCAAAGCAGTCAGATTTGTTTTCTAAGGAGTGGGCAAAGAGGTTAAGACACTTCACTGCTGATCCAAAGGCAACAGTTGAAGTCTTGTTCTGAAATTGTACTTTTTTCTGGAAATTATTTTTTTTCTGGCTATGTGGTCTGAAAATGATAACAGAATGTGGCTTGGCTGTCTCCCTTCAGGCCAAAGGTAGAAAAAACCCTTCTTCAAATGCCTTGGTACTTGAATTTGAATGTGCAGTGGGGAGGGGTGTATAAATTCAGGTACTAAAAAAAGATGTTTATACATGTGGAGATAAGTGCTGTTGAATGTGTATGTCTGCTTCAGTCTGATCAGCATCTGTAATGTTTGTAATCACTGAAATAATCACCTATAAACATGTTTTGTTTTTGTTGCTCTTTGACATGCTTAGTCTTTACCTTGGGATTTATGGGAGGTAAGAACTTCATCTGGCTTTCCTCTCATCACCTACTGTGCATGTGCTGGTGCCATCTCTGTACACTCACCCCTCTTCTTTCCCTTCCTGCTTTTCCTTTCCATTGAACCCACTTTTCCACCTTCTGTGAAGCCCTGGGTGCTGCCACGTTTGCAAGTCAGATCTGTCACACTGCAATTTGTCTTCACCAGCACACAACCCCATTGCCTTTCCCTGCTAACTCACTTTCCTTTGGCACAATGCTGTCACATTCTTCTCAAACTTAATCCCACTGTGGCATCATCCTCACCCTCTACTTCTCAGTATTTCCTTAACTCTGTACATCCTGTTGGTCTTGTGTGTGGTGCATAAATGTCTCAGCTGTCCCTTGTCCTTACTGCCTGTACCATTGTGTATGTACATGTATGGAATTATCTGTGATGTTTGCTGTTCATTGACCTTTGCTGAGAGCCTGGCCAAAGAACTCGCTGTGACCAGTCCTCTGCTTCACTTGACCTTGGGACATGTCAAGAAAGAAGTTTCCCATATGTGTTTTATCAGCCATCAGTGTTTAACATCTGTCATTGTCCTGTATGTGCATTGTCAGTCTCTTTAGTAAGAAAGAATGTGTTCTTGCCAGGGAGGATCTTGTGCCTTTCAAGTGGATGGGCAAGGGTGAGGTATGACTTTATCTGAGCTGTGCTTACATTCTGAGGTGTAAAAGGCTTTTTGGGCCATTTCTTCCATCCTGGAAACTGATTTCACCCAAAGGAAAATTCAATCAACTGAGGAATGCTGCTAGACAGGATGTCCTCACCATGCCAGTTCTCACCTTGGCCAACCATACACAGTTAAAGAACAGAGCTACCTATAGCTGGAGATTCCCTGTAACTGGGGAGTCCTCCTTTTTTGCTCTTCAAGTCTTCAGAAGTGTTTTTGTTCTAAAGTTGTTCTCAGCTGTTGATGAAACAGACCCATATGCCACAAGGTAAACAGTTGCATAGAAACTTGGATGCAACAGAACGTGCTTAGTTCTGCAGACAAGCAAGCATACATTTGGTGTGTATGATGCTGTTGTTTTGGAATAAGCAAAACTTTCAAACCTGGCAACAGCAGTGAGCATTCTTCCTCTTCTCCCTATGGTACCTTTCCATGAGTAGAAGTGCTTTTATAGGCCTTGGGATGTCTGCAGGTACATAAAATAGAAAAATAGGTAGCTGACATAAAAATCCAGAGGATTTATTTAGATTTGATTTCTTTAGTAATTAAATACTGTTTTTGCAAATTAGCTGCTTGTAAGGAAGGAGCTCAAGTCAAGCTTCTTTTTACTTGTCCACGTAAAAACCATTCTTGGCCAGGTTGTCTTGGGCCTGGCATCTATCCCAGTTTCAGTTTCACTGAATCAAAATTAAAAGCAACCTGGGAGTGAATCTAATTAAACAGGAGAAGCCTTTGTAGAATTTGACATGCATACATTTACCTTAGCACTACCAAAGCTGCTGTGGGAATCCTCTGCAGGATGGTAACAGCTCTGCTGTTTGTAATATCCTCTGGCAATACAGGCCTGTGGACAGGGTGATGGGCAGACATGAGGAAGGATGTGATATAAGAGGAAAATGTGTTAAAGGGCACCACTGGAGCAGCCTAAGGTAAAGTAATGGCTCTGTATTAAATCAAGCATTTACTTCTTTGTTATTGCTGCTATTACTAGAAAAGTACTTGGAGCATTGTGCCAGTGCACACCTAGTGGCCAGATGGTGTAGAGTTAAGGGTTACTCGAAGTTTTTGCTTTACACCAGGCTCTTATAAGGTTGGAACTATGAGAATTGAACATTCAGAAATGGGGATGATGCCTTGTTTTGAACATGGTTGTATTCAGGGGTACATGTGTTTACCAAATGTATGAGACATGTAGGCATGCTGAAGCTGGTTAATTTCCATGTATTAGAAATGGAAAATCTCTGCATAGCAAACTCTATTGTGCAAGTATAAGGTGGGTATCTGATTAGGTTCTGCAAAGGGACATGTGGTGTAGAGAACAAATGGATATAGACTGGCTATGAAGACTTAGGCTGCAAATTAGATGGTTGATATTCTTGGCAGAAGTCTTCCCAGATGCTGCCTGGCCACTCTCCCAAGGAGCTGATCTCCAGCATTGATGCTACCAAATCCAACTTTGTTCCTGCGATGCTGCGGTTTTTAGGAGGGGCAAATTGATATATTTAATTTTGCATTAAAACAGAGTTAGCTTGACTTTAGGCAAGGGAGAATAAAAATTTGAACTGCTGAAAGTGTGTCAGAGGTGTTTAATCGGTGTGAGTTGTTTTTCTTTTGTGCTCGGAAACCCCTGTCCCTAGACTTTCCGGAACAGTCTCTGCTGGGCAGTGATTTGCAAGTGATGCTGAATGTTTCTCCCTGGTGGTGGCAGCTCTTATGCATTAGAAACTCTCCTCTCTGCCAACACAAATGTGTGCATGTGTGTACACACCACGCAGTATGTTCACAGCAAGTTCTTACTAATGGTATATTCACAACAGAATCCAAATTCTTAACACTTTGAGCCTATCCAAAATCATATTGGGTTAGCAGTGTTTTCAGGTCGCTTGGATTCAGTATTAATGTTACGTAGGTGCTGGGTCCAGACTGTTTCATATGTGGACACATGGTCATCATGCTCTTCTGGTTTTGGGAGTCGGTGAAGGAATCAGTATTCCTTGATTTTGATCCTTGGAAGTAGCCTAGTGAGAGATCCTTGTCCATTGACATGCCAGCAGACTTGTTTTCACATACAAATGGGCAGTCTATATATAATCATCATAGATACAGTGCATGTGTAAAGTAGGTCAGTGATTTAGGTAATGAAAAGAGAGGGGCACAGGATTTCTGGCATTTTAGTGATTTCCTCTGGAGTGTGGCCTGCTGCGTGGCTGGAATGAGGGAATGCAGGAGTTATTGAGGTTTCCCTGGGTTACACAGAAGGAGAGAGGCACAAACCTAGCAAACCCCTGAGGTTTCTCGCCTATTTGTCAGCAGATGGCAGCAGTCAACAGCATAGAGCACTTGGACAGACTGAGCTGCACTCTTCTGCACACATGAGTAGCTATTGTGAACATAACTCTCCACTTGGATAACTTTTGTATTGCAGCCTGCAGAAGCAGCCCATGCAGGAGCTGAAGCAGCTGGATCAGAAACAGCAGCTGGAGCTGAAGCATCTAAAACTGAAGCTGATTCGGGATCGGTGAGCACCTCCAAGGACGGCAGTGCCTTTTCTGTTACACCCCTTTGCCATACAACAGATATGGGAGGCTGGCCTGGGAAAAAAGAGATGTGGTTGCGTGGAAAAACACATCCCTGCCACCTCAGCTGTTACATGGCTCTTATTCAGAGGCCAGAATTAGCTGTTGCCTTTGATCTGTGTAATGCATATGGAGATGCTCAGCTGGAATATCCACAAAAAGAATTGTCCCTTCACCCATGTTGTGAAGCCAGCTCACGGCCCATCCTGTGCTCAGCTTGCTTTATCTGCTTGCCATTTGCTTTACCTACCCTGTCCTCTGAACTCTGGTGTCCCCTGAATATTCCTCTTTTCCTGACAGTGCCACCCTTTTAGGGGACTGGAGTAGGTCACATCTCATGGCTGCTTGGTTCCTATAGACTGTTGCATTTGAGTTGTCTGTTCCACAAGGGAAGAAGAACCACATTGTGACTGAAATGAGTGGGAAATGCCAGGCATTATGGTTCCAGAAAAACTCTAAATCCTTTCTGCCCTTTTGCAACCTTAAGCAAAGGAAAACAGCAGTCACCTCTCCTGCCTTCTCGCTGCTGCCTCTGCTGTCCTTTGGGGTGTTTTTGTCACTGGCTGGTGTGCTGGGAAAAGCCACTGAAGCCACGGGTAGAGTTGGGATGTGGCTTCTGCAGGGTGGGCTTGGAGCTGCAATTTTGGATTCTTTTTTCTCAATGTGTTTTTTTCCTTCCCTGGCTGCTGCTGCCTACCAGAGCTCTCTGCCTGCTGTTGTTGTGGAAACTTTCCCTGCTACTGTCAATGGCACTGTGGAAGGAGGTGCTTCATCTGAGAGAGCTGATATGCCTCCAGGGTTTCTGTTCAAGGTGAGCACGTGGTGGTGGGGCACCAAGTTCCTGATGATTTTTTTCCCTGTAGTAAATTAACTACTTTTGCTCAGTATGACCATTGGCTGTCCCACATTGAAAAGGAGAATGGAAGCTGAAGGAGAGATGCATATTCCTCTCCAGCAGCCAGGCTTCATGCAGTTCCAGATGTTTCAAAGGACTGTATAAGGCCATCAATGTCTGTGTCTGGCTGTGTTGTATAGCAAAATCCCTCCTTCTCTCTGCTGCAGTTACTTCTGTCTCTGGTGGTGTGGTAGTATCAGTCACAGATTTTGGATAGTAGATAAGAAATTGTGCTTCAAACTGGAAAGGTTAAACTTTGATGCAAGTAACAAATGAAGAACAGTTTGAAACACCAGTAGAGGCAGAGGACTTCATGTTTGGGGAAATTAGAAAGCCAGGATGAGCAGGGAAAAATACAGGATTAGACAGGGAAGTCCTATGGGTGTTCTGAATATGCCAAAGATCACTCACAGCTTATTTCGAAGGTATGGAGGAAGGAATGATTCTGGGTGAAGATAGGCCACAAGTTTAATGTGCATAATGCAATATGGTAGCAAGACAGCACTGATGCATCATGCCCTGAAAGTGAGAAATGACAGTCTCCTGCTGCAGGAATGTGCTGCAGTTACTTCTGTCTCTGGTGGTGTGGTAGTATCAGTCACAGATTTTGGATAGTAGATAAGAAATTGTGCTTCAAACTGGAAAGGTTAAACTTTGATGCAAGTAACAAATGAAGAACAGTTTGAAACACCAGTAGAGGCAGAGGACTTCATGTTTGGGGAAATTAGAAAGCCAGGATGAGCAGGGAAAAATACAGGATTAGACAGGGAAGTCCTATGGGTGTTCTGAATATGCCAAAGATCACTCACAGCTTATTTCGAAGGTATGGAGGAAGGAATGATTCTGGGTGAAGATAGGCCACAAGTTTAATGTGCATAATGCAATATGGTAGCAAGACAGCACTGATGCATCATGCCCTGAAAGGGAGAAATGACAGTCTTCTTCTGCAGGAATGCTGCTCTTCTGCTTCAGTCATGTCCATGTGTTTGTTTTTTGTTTTATTTTTTCTTCTTCTGGGAGTTCTGTCAAAACTGAAGAATGTCAAAACCCTGAAGAGCAATGGAAGGCTTGTTGCATGGCAGGATTCAGTCACTCAAAGATACAGACTGATACTCTTCCCTATGTTTCCCTGTTTGCTGTGACAGAGATGGGAGGCTAGAATCTTTAGTACACTTGCAGTCCAGCTGCAAAAATAATCCAGACAATCATTCAAGAGAATACAGGCTTTCTACCTTGTCAGGTTTTAAGGCCCATAACATGAGAATTCAGCCCATCTAAGGAAAGACAGGAAAGTGCTGATGCATAAAAAATTGCATGTTGGCTGCCCTTCTTGCAAAGGTGACCTACATGCTAGGATGTATGAATAAGCATGTAGCTTGTGGTTATTCCCATCTATGTAACTTTTGTGACCTGCCTGGAGCAGCAGGTTGGATCAGATGGCTTCCAAAGGTGTCTTCCAACCTGAATCGTCCAGTGAATCAATGAAGTGGAAAGCCTTGTCACCTATTACAGAGCTGGATGACAGAAGACTGGCCTTACCCAAGCTCTGCTCTCCTCACCCCATAGGTCCAGGCCATGCATGATTACACGGCTACTGACAGTGATGAGCTGCAGCTGAAGGCTGGGGACGTGGTGCTTGTGATTCCATTTGAGAACCCTGAAGAACAGGTGAGTGAGCACGACAGGGTGTGAGCTGGGGCCAGGAGGAGCCAAGGAGATTTCCAGAGCTGCTTCTTCCTCCACTAACAGTCGGCTGGCTGAATGCAGAGCCATCAGTTTGTGGCTGGGAGCTGGTGGGAGACCCGATTCTCCTTGAGCTTGAGATTGGCTTCGTGCAACAGAAGGGAGGACTCTGCTTGTGATTGGAAAGTCGAGACCTTGTCCTGCATAAAGCATGTGAAGTATCTGTGGCTTCCTATCCCTATCAAGGCATTTGAGCCAGTACAATGGCTTCCTTGATCAGGGAGCCCAACAAAGCCCATACTGTTCTTCTTAACTGCTCCTAAATTTGACACGCGTTTGCTGTCACCACTGCAGCACAGACTGTGGCATTTCTGGGAGAGACCCATGTCTTATGATTGTTTTCTCCCCTTTTGAGAAGTGCTGGACCTCTGAGAAAGCAGCTTGCTGTGCATAATGTTTTGCACTTTAGCTTAGCAATAGCTGTTTTCAAAAGATAAAGTTTGGTCAGGAGATGGCAGCAAAACCAAAGGCTGGAGCAGGTTGCTCTGCCCCAGAGAACAGTATAACTATCCATCTCCAACCTGAATTTAATTGCTGATGTTTTTCTTTAATCTGAGCTATTTCTAGAAACCTTTACTAAATCCTTCTTACTTGCTCTGTTTGAGGGATTACGGCTGATAAAATTTGCAGCAGGTTTACTACTTTGAGGGAGGTGGTGATTTTATAAAATTCATGCTCACATCTCCAGGTTTTTGTTTGGAAAAGGATGGGAATTCTCCAAGTTGATTTAGTAGTCACCAGCTCTCTGGGTTTGACCAAGCCCAGACGAGATTGGGATTCCAAAAGAGGTAAGGAGAAGATGATGTTCACTGGCCACAGAAGATGTCGATCCTCTTTGTGGCTCAGTTCTTTGCTTTCTGAATTATGGAGGCAGATCATGTTGCTGCTTGGAAAATGAGACCTACAATGTACCAGAATGTACCAGAAATGCACCAAGCTCTGTGGGGAAGGGTTGTATGGGGAAGAGGCAGTGATTCCTTTTGGAGACAAGACTTCACAGAGTGAGACTGCCCTGCACAAGCATTTGTGAGCATTTCTTTCTCAGAAAGCTTTCTGGATGGGAAATGAGTGGCAGCTCTCCTAGTTTTGGTGGTAGGAGATGGCATTTGTGGAGCAGTTTTTCAATGCCCTATGTTTGCACTCTAGCTGGATGTGGGTGCAACAGCCATGAATTCGAGACTCTCCAAGCTGCAGAGGGTGAGCTCTGAGTGTTGCTAACATGATGCTGTAGCTGCACTGAAGCCCTCTAACCCTCTTACAGTATATCCCGTGTTACAGCTCATTTCCCTAACCTCAGCCATACCCAGCCAGAAAATGTTGGCTGTTAACATGTGCATGAACGGTGCACGTGAGTGGAGGCAGCTTAGAATAACACTGCCCTCATCTTGCAGCTTAGGTGTTGGTTTGTGGGTACATCAGCCAGGTTTAGATTCACCTTTTGAGAGAAGAAGAAAGAGTTGAGGGCAACAATGCTTCTAAAGTGACACTTCAAGTGGTGTGGTTCAGAATGAGCAAGGGTCAATCTGGGTCCTCGTATCTAATCCCTCCAGCTGAGGAGACCCTTTGCAGCAGGTTGCAGTGGGAGTGGTGCATGCTGTATGACACGTGCTATGTGCACATGGATGAGCTTTTGTGCTTGCTGTGCTGTGAGCTGAAAGCTGCCTTCCAGACACTTGGACCCAGCATCTTCCACCTAGCCATGTGTCTTCCTGATTTATGGCATGTCAGTCCTTCTGCAGCCCCTGCAGCTGGCTGCTGCAGATGGGCTCCCGTCTCATGACATTCCCATGACATTCCCTGAATGCTCAAGTCTAAGGCAGCAGCAGGGCTTGACTGAGCCTGTGGACACCCAGTGTAGCCTGAAAGGAGCAGGGAGCTTGGACATGATGCCTCATACTTGGTCTGAGCTGCTGCCTCATGAAATGTGCAAAAAACAGGACAAGAGGGCAGAAGCTGCAAAATAGCAGCAGAAATGTGTGTCCCATCAATCACCCCTGGTGAGGGCTGCAGCACTCCTGCACTGTGCAGGTATGTTTTTAAAGAACATGTTTCAAGGGAGGCTTAGCTTGGCCTTGTGTAGATGCCCAGGTAACTCCTGCCAGTTCCAGGAAAGCAGAAGTGTCAGAACAATGGTGTGAACCACACACACGCGTGCCCTGTTTCCCCACAGCTTCAAGCATGTAGTTGCCTGAGCAGTTCTGCCCTGCCAAGTTGTGTAGCCGAATGTGTTAACGTATCTCTAAATGAGTCTGGTGCATATTTTTGCTCAGGGGAGTGGATGCAGAGCTGGCTGAGTTTGGAGAAGCAGACCCCTGTGCATCTCTCCTGCCTTATTCTGCAGTTTTAACCCATGGGTTTCCCCACTGCAAGGGACTCACATGAGGGGGTGTATTTGCATGCTGAAGGGGTACTTCTGTGGTGGCAGCTCCCAGACATGCAAAAAATAGGGTGGTTGCACATTTGAGTTGTAAGCAGTGCAGCCTTCCCACCTTGATTATCTCATCTCCTTAATGTGTTTCAAATGGACCTGAAATCTCAGTGCTAGGCACCTTGTAGGCAGAGGGTGGGAAGTCGGGTTCTCCTACTGAGCAGGTTCTATCAGGCAGGACTATTTGTTTCAGTGAAAATTCATCCCTGTTTAGAGGTGTATTGGTGGTTAAGGAGGAGCCTTGTGTTGAGTCTTACATCATGTGTAGCACAAGTTTGGGAGTTTTGCCCACTTCACCTTGCATCAAGCCCAACAGACTGCTGAATGTTGGGAAGATGGGTTGAGCTTCTCAGCTCCCAGTTCTCATAGACCAGAATTTCAGCATAGCAAACAAGACTTACTTGCTGTATCACCTTTTTAAAACACTAATCATCTAGGTTCCCTGATTGGAGCAGGGAATGAGCACCTCCAGGGAAGGATTAATCCTTTCTGAAGACCTGTGCCCAAAATGAGTGTGATGAATTCAACTGTGGAGATGCCAAATTCTTTTATGACTGTGGAGGATGCTAGACCCCTCATGTTTGGATGGTGAAAGGTGAGATAGGTGATTCTCTTCCTGTAGCTCTAGAGACTTTCCTTGGCAGAATTTCTCATGCTTCAGTGGGTGTAAATTATGACTTGTTGCTATTGTACTTACTAATTATTTATAGATTCACTGTTTCTAGACACTCTGGATCAGACAGGAGTTTTGGTACTGACTGTGGTGCAATGTAGCCTCTTCCTCAAAAGCCAAATGTGAGCATGGCTTTGATAATGCCTTGGCACCTCCTTGGTCTGCACTCTGTAAGAAGTTGTACTCACATCTGTCCTTCAGCATCTGATTTCTGTCTTCTCCTCCAGGATGAAGGATGGCTGATGGGAGTGAAGGAGTCTGATTGGATCCAGCATAAGGAACTTGAACAGTGCCGAGGGGTTTTCCCAGAGAATTTCACAGAGCGGGTGCAGTGAAAGCCCAAGCCCACTGGATGCATTTCTGCTGGAAGAAAGCAAGTTTTCTAGTAGATAATTGAAAAAGAACAGCGAAATGAAAATGAGAGAATTTTAAGGGAACTGAAGTCTGAAAAAATAGTCAACTTAAAGGGTGTGGTGTTCTCAAAGGGCAAGGTTTCAGAAGTAAATTGAAGTTCAAAGTGTTATTGAAATATATACATATTAATAACAATAAGGCAAGTCAAATTCCCTCTTCCCCCTTTGGTTTTAAGACCATTTGGATTCAGAGGACTGATGCAGAAGTGACTCAGTGTGGTTCTCTAAATACTGCATGGATTGAATTAGCAAGACGTCAGTCTGATCCCTGGAGAGGCAGTATTTGTCTAATGGCTTGAGTAGGAGCTGTATTTGCTCTTAGGTGGGTTAATCTGTTTTGTCTTGAAGGTGGCTTGCATGACAACCATAAAAATTCGGCCTTCCCT